TTGAGCTTCAAAACTCAAAATGTTTCAAAACTTTCAAAAAGTTTCGACTGTCCTCATTTCATTTTGAGGCTGTTTCAAAGCCCTTCGTTCTGTTTTGATTTTGCTGTTTTGAGCTCGAAACGAGTTGAAACAGCATCAAAATGAAACAGCCGGCAAAATTTTACACAACTCTAATACTTATTGTTTTCTTTGGGACTACGAATACATGCATATATATTTTTTCAATAAGGTGCTTGGGGAATTCAGGGTAATCACCACATTAATAATGAGAAAAATGAATTTCATTTACTTGCACATCCCTAGGACTTACTTCACAGAGACAAAGCAAGATGCCTTGACTGCAGAATATGTGTAAGTATTTAGTCAGAACTGAGAAGAAAGGTGAAAAAGTGGAAGTGGCAGACAAGCATTTTACCTTCATTTAGTAAATTTATTCCATCCTGCTTTCCATCTTGTGAATGACCTGGATCCAGAGATGTCTGAGAAAAGCTAACATCTGCTGAGAGCTGGTCCAGACTTTGAAAACTTTTCCTGCAAGACAAACCATATTTTTTCCTAAAATTCCAAGGGAATGTTCATGCCATTCTGTTTAAACCTTCAATAACCTGTTTTTAAAAGGCAGCCAGATAAATCGTGCCTCTTCTTCACTCATCTCCACTTTGGTTTTCTACAATAAACTAGTGAACAAATTGGTGAACCCACTGGAGAGAGGGAGGAGAAAAAAACTGAGAAATTATAGTAAATAAAACGTGGGGTTTTCACTACAAATGATCCAAACATGGAAGAAAAAAGTTACTTGTCAGTGATTTGAGTTCTTTGAAATGTATTTATCTGCACATCCTCCCTGAGAGTGCATGGGTGATTCAAGCATTCCATCAGAGATAATTTTGCCTTAACCGTAAGATATGCTGTAGCTTTGCCCCTCCTCATGCCCCACACTTGAGGAAGCAATAGGTATTGGTCACTTTCTGCTCCTATATTTCTTCTCAACCACAGAGTTATATATTGCACATAATTCCAAGGACTAGGGGAAAGAGAACAGAACACATCTTAAAGAACTTAAGTTACCAGTAAGAAATTTCTTTTTTGGGGTAAGTATCCATGCACATCTAAATAAAAGGCCAGAAAAGGAGGAGCTGCCACGAGTGTTTGGATCTTACAAGGCTATTTTCATGGAAAGATAAAACAAAGAATAAATTGCCATCATTTCAAATGGTGGCCTCATTTGATACCAGGAGCAAATTTAGGCTCCACTGTAGAACAGGGCTTCTCAGAAGGAAAAAAAAATTGTCAGGCACTTGAGGAATCTCAGGGCTGCTAGGTGAAAAAAGACTAACATATGAAAGCTATTAACTATAGGGTGGTGGCCTCTGACAACTGCCAGGTATACTTTGATTAAACTGATGAATAGGTCCGTCTGTGTGAGCTCCAACAGCTGTTCTAGTATAGCTTGAATGGAAGACTGCTCTGGGCTGAGATACCTTGCCTAAAGCTAGCAGAAAAACTGGTTCACTTAGCTAGGTATGATAGATTTTTTTCTGCTGTGAATGAGAATGACCCTTCTTATAATGGAAGGACCATCCACCATCAGTGTTGTGAAATAAAGGGAATGCACAGTAGTACACTCTTCCTGGTCAAAACCTAGGGTCCTTTACTGACCTCAGTAAATCATCATCCTGGTACCAAAAGTGTCTTTGCATGTGGGATCTAACATGCTAGTTTAGGCCAAGTCCCATCTCACTTTGTGAAGTACCAATAGAATAAGATAAGGGCAGAAAGGAAGAAACCTACCTAAGCTATAAGTAGATCATTAGACAGGGAGCCTGGACAGAAGCCTCTCTCAGAGCAGAACTAGTTGATATCATACAGAAGTCTTAAAATAACCCCAATTCACAAAGATGGACTGATGAGCACTGTAGGAAGATGGATAAGCTGAGATTATCTGCTTTAGTATTTTAGAGACCCTGACAATGGCCAAGGACAGGTGTTAAGGAGAATTTAAAAACATTCTTTGTACATATTGACCAGGTCCTTCCACTATGCGAAGGAGGACTGAACATAGAATTATCACTCGTTTAGAGGATGCTTTCCCATAGAGCAGATAGTCCGCAGCCAGGATTGCATGCACCTAAGATGTGATCTGGTATACCACATCATAAAGGTCCAGGAGGCCACCTGGCCAAGACCTGAGAGAGAGGCCTTCCTTTCATAATAGGGCACTCCCTGACCAGCAACATTAGCTCTTGCAGAGACTGGAAGTGATCCTGCAGAAGGGCGAACCTTGCTTCACAGAGTCCAATCAAAGTGGTCCCCATAAACTTGAGTATGCACAGAAATCAGGTTTGAATTTTGTTTTTTTACCTATAATCTCAGCATACAAAAGAGCTGTGTTCTGTCTAGGCTTTGTGACACTCGGTCAGCAGAGACCCCAGACAGCCACCCATGCAGGGAGAAAAAAGTGACACTTTCCAAGAGAATCTTGGCGAAGCCTCTGAGAGCAACGGGGAGGCCAAATGAGAGGTTCTTCTACAGGTAACAGTCCTGATCCACCACCTGTAAATTGGGACACAAGAACCAGTTCCTCTTAGCAGGGACAGTATAAGAGCCACTAACATGATCACCTGGCACTCGAGCTGGCAAATAAGGGTGCTGAGCCTTTTTAATTCTGAAGTGCAGCTCTATATTCCTTTCTGCTATAGAACCCATTAACCTGAGAAACAGAGGAACTTTTTTTTTCTAACCACTACCAGAGGTATCAGGGAAAGCACCTCCTGCCATAGCAAAATCCCTGAAAAAGGATGAAGAAAAGGCATTTGGTGTGGATAACAAACTGAACAGACTGTTTTTTCAGTCATGTTATTGTCCAAAATCTACTGTTTTGATGCTATATGGGCCTTGCAGACTGGAAAATGGGCAAGACAGTTATTGATGAAAGAGACGGGTTAAGACAACATGAAAGAGGACTGATGGTATCTCTTCAATACGCCATCAAAGGCCTTGGCTGATGCACAACACACATTGGGGAGCAAATGGTGCAGCAAAGGAATTTTTCACTTGTAAAACCACTGACACACTGTGTTCCCATGATTAGTATGTTCAGCAGAGGAGGACAGAAGGCCAGAGTTGCTCATGATAAGGAAAATTAAATGCATTACCACTGGGTAATTTTGAAAACTTATTCCCATTGGGTAATTATGTCTTTTCATTAGCTCGTACTCCACCCCCTCCAAACATTTTAATTAATGATAGTGAAACCATGCAAAGATGAACTCAGCAACAAAGCAGAACACTTACCATTTCCTTTGTACACATCATAAAGCCAAACACCAAACTAATTCATGCCCTTGTGTTTTACGTCTGTACACTTTTGTGTTCTCTGAATCTTTATTTTTTTTAAATTTTTCACATGACAGTTGACTCTAATGCAGGTTTAGTGCTACCTACTAAGTCTTGTAACTCCAAAAACATGTTTCCACTTTTTTGCTTGGTTACTTCTGCTATAATGAAATTTATTCAAAACTTTAAACTCCCTGCTTCCATTAACAATGGGGAGCTAGTAATATTTGTCAACAACAGATATAGTAAAGTGCTCCTGGATAGAGTTGCATATATAATCTTATCTATTTAAAAAGAGGAATGTATGGATATATTCTTTGAGACCCTTCCTTCTACATTCCTCTCTCACAGCAGAGACAACACCTCAGATAACACCTGGCAGTTTTCTGAAAACAGTGTGTGAATTCCACCAGACATTTACTGAAAGCTTTAATGCAGAGGTGTCAAATATACAGCTCCAAAGCTGGATTCAGCTCATGGAGCTGTATGATCCGGTCTCTGGACTGACCCCGTCTGCTGCATAGGGCATGTACCAGCCCGGCCCTGGGGCTGCACAGGGGGTTAGTCCAGGGCATGTATTGCATGCGGTACCTGCACTGGACAAGCTCTATGTGCTGGCTTTGGGGTTAGCCTTCTGTGCGCAGTGTCAGGTCCAGCCTGTGTGCAGAGTGAGAGCTGGAGTGGAGTCAATGTGTGCTGCATGTGGCACATAGGCCGGACCTCGTGCAGAAGGCACTGCACATGGTACAGGGGTCAGTCCTAATCTAGCCTGGAGACCAGCCCAGTGACTCTGAGTTTGACACTCCTGCTTTAACAGATTCACTGGAAAACCAAACAGAAGACTAGTCAAAATATGTATTAAGGCAGCCGCTGTCAACCAGTGGTACGTGTATCCCTGGGGGTACTTTGAAAGGTCCCAGGGGGTATGTGGGAGTGGGTGGGGATGGAGTGCCACCACCCCGCACCACTGCCTCACGGGAGTAGAGCCGGGGTGGGGCGACACTGAGCTGCCACCACTCTACCGCTTGCCATGACCCCACCGCCCGCTCACCATCCCCCACTGCTTGGCATCTGGCTGCTTGCCACCCCTCCCATGGGTACACTTATTAAAAAGGGGGCTGCCAGGAGTACACTTATTAAAAAAGGTTGAAAAAAGGTATTAAGGAAACACGGAAGCCAAGGAACATGGAGAGAAACATATAACCTCAAGATTCAGAGGAAGAAAAGAAGCAGCAAGTGGATTTTCCTACAGTACTTGTTTTCTGAAAATAATGCAACATAGCAGGAAAAATAAAGCAATTCCATGTGACCAGCTTTTCCAAGCTATTATAGGACATTATACTTGTGCTCTTGACAGCACAGCTTTTCATGTTTCTCAGCTTTGTTATATGACAAGGGTGTCAAAGATACAACCCACACGCCAGATCCAGCCTGTGATCCATCCTATCCAGCACACCAGTAACTGTCTCATGCAATCTACTGGAAATTGGGTGGCAGGCTAGGGAATTTGGGGCCCCCAGGCCCTAGGAACACAGCCATGGAAGGCAGACAAGCGAGGGCTGTGCAGAAACAGGTTTTCCTTGCTTTGCACGTGCTGGACCCCCACTGCTGAGCCCTGAACCCTCACTACTGCCACCAAACCCCGCACCGCTGTCACAAGTCCTGTGGATTCAGCAAGGGAGGAGGCCCACTGTCTGGATCTTGCCAGAGGTCTGGGGGTGATGTTTGATACCCCTGTTATACAGGATTATTTCTCACACACACTAATGGGAGTTTTTTCAAAGTGTAAGAGCCACATAGCCCCTCTCTCTCCTTTGTCTGCCTCTTCTAACTGTCTGAATGACCCCTAATCTATTGCAACTGAGGGTCAAACAAGAGAAAGATGTAGTTAAAAAAATAAAAACAAAGCAAACCAACCAAAAAACCAAATGAAGGAGCTGCAACAGCAACGGAGATTGGTATAATTTTTCATCATAATTTTAAAGGCTCATTTCTTCACTAACCCTGAAAGACTGGAATTGAATTCTTGCAATCCTTCCCACTGAATACACACATGCAAGCAAAACAATTCATTATGGAAGCACTGTTAAAGAACAGGCCTCCTGGCACTGTTTTCATTTTAGAAAATATGCTGAAACATACGAAAGTAAAAAGTATATAGAAAAGTTGATATATCATTCCACTAAGAATCTATTTTCCCTAAAAACTGCAACAGACTAGTGGCCATTGAAACAATTAAAATGTAAAATCATTCATTTCAGGAAAATGCAATAAAAGAGTCATATGATCATTTAATAAAAATCAGACTACCAATTTAACAGTACATATAAGCACAGGCTTCATTTTCTACACACCCCACAATCCCATGTTACAGTATTTACTTCAATGAGACAAGGTCATGTTTAAATATGTACTTTTACAGTTACTGAATATGCATGTCATATATGGAATTAGAGATAATATATACAATACTGAGGTTATCATAAATAACAGTATATCTTAAGATTTCTTCTCTGTCAACAAACTCAGTTATTCAATAATATTTTGTACCTTGATTTGACAATCATTTTTTTTCCCGGAATGAGTCATACCAAAGGAAACATTTGACTGTACATACTTCACTGTCATTCATTTTGTTGTTCTAATATAGTGCTGTCACAGTCATGCTAATATAGTCTATGCAGTCACCTCAGGTTAATCAGGTTGAATTAATGATGGTTCACAAACAAAACTAAACATCATTCTATGAAAACCGAGTTAGCTTTCATTTACTCTACCACCTTGCTAAATATCAATTCAGACCCCCAAACTCTTAAATTGTTTTGAACTTCCTTTTCATTCTGGTTTATGTTTTTATGACAGCAGAACTGCTCATAGGTATCATGACAATGCTCATGGTACTACTTTGTTCTGAAGTTTCAAACTGCCTTCTAACTTGTAACTGAGAAAACATTTTCTCCCGTTAGGTCAGGTAAGACGACCATTAGGCACACGTGGTATGTTAGCAGATAATATGCTGGGAAAAGAGATGGAACCTACTGATATGATTTTGGGTATTGTCTCTGTCCCTGTGAAGGCAAAGAAAAAAACAGTCAACTTACTCATCCCATTGTTTATTGTGCTTTCTATAGAGTAGGGTATCCAAGGCAACAGCATTGACATCCAAAGCTCCAGGGGAAGGCCACTGATTGGTGAGATGGGTAGTTAACTCTTGTCTTGATCTTAAATCATTATTCTTTAGCACAGTCCTGAGGACATAAAGACAGTGAATTTCATTCCATTAAACCTAATGTTTTAAGTTACATTAAGGGAGTGTGAAACAAAGAATCCTATCCAAATTGATGTTGCCTTTTGAATACTACAACTAGTAAAAGGCATTTTTCATAAGATAGTTCTTTTTTCCCTAGAGGAAACAATTGAGAAAGCAATGTGTAGCATTAAAAAAAGAAAAAACCGTAAACCTTAAAAGCAGACCCATTACTCTGCAGGACAGATTAAATGAGAAATTGCATGGATAGTATCTTCATTTCAACATGATGCAACTTACTGAAGTTTTTTTAAAAGGTGTTCAAAAGAGAAATCTAGTAAAAAATGTTTCTAGGACTAAACTGATTATGCAAATTTAGTTCTAGATGGTGTACGTGTTCCATTTCAGTGCAGAAGGATGATAAAACCTTGGTTGTAAACACCTAATAATTACTAGAAATTTGAATTTCTAAACTATTCAAGCACTTTAGAAGTCTGAGAAACTAACGTCTCCATCCCAGTGAAGTAAGAAAGAGATGATGAAATGGAGGAACTAAGATGTTAAGACATTTGCCCAAAAGTCACACACGAAATATGACAGAGGCAGGAACGTGTCTTCAAATTGCTCCATTGTCTTGAGTTAAACACTACCTTTTTTCCAAACAGTACAATGGAAACAATAGCTCACATTTAACAGTTCAGCAATGTATGTTTAGATAATGAAACTAACATTTCATTATTACTTTATCCAGAAAAACCTCACATTAAGTAAGTGTTGCATGTTCAGTAAAGAGAACTTTTATGTATTTTTTCTATGTCTGTAGTCACGTAATAGGTTACTAAATACAAAAAATAAACCCCTCGGCCACCACACACCTCTGGTGGTCACCTACCACACCACACAGGAACCGACTGAAATAATCAAACAATTATAGCCTATTCATGACAAGCATCAAACCTTGAGAGAAATTTCCCCAGATCCTCTGCTCCTGGCTTACAAACAATCCCCTAACCTTGCCTAACTCATTATCAGAAGCAAACTCCCCACTGTTCAACAGACATCAAATAGGACACAGCTTGCCTTAACAACAGATGCATAACCTGTCAAAACATCTCCATTGCTACTACAATCAACACCCTTCACAAGGAACCCAGGAGAATTCATGGAGAATTCATGGAGGTAAGCAGTAAGGCTAGGGACAGAAGTTACACATAAAGCAGTTCAAGTCATCAGAAACTGATTTAACCTATAACAGAACAGAAGCTCAGTGCATTTAAACCAGTTTCAAAATGGCAGAAGGTGATTTAACATAAACCTGGTTGAATGTAGTATCAGACTTAACTGATTTGGGTCAAACCACTGTATGAAACTTCTGTCCCAGACCCCTTCAAGTTAAATCAGTCCCCCAGCATACTTTCTGCACACCCCTGTGTTTTTGTGCTTTCTGAACAGGGCAGACTAATTTTTAAGTTAAATAAAAATACCAAACTGCAACATATTCTTCAAAGTAATATAGTATTTATAGAAGAGACTGTTATAAAAGTGACACTACTAAGAACACGTTCAGTACATAATGCAGAAGTGGAGATAGAATGGTCAGCACAGAAGGGGGGGGGGTTAGAGAGAGAGAGAACGACAAACATTTTCCATAAAACTGGTAATTGAATGGACCTAATATAGGATCAGAGGGCAGCAGTGGCTATAACTTTCACGCTCACAGCACAATATTACCAATAGTTTAAATTGACACATTTTTCCCTAACACCATCCTAAAATACTTTTCCTATAATGAATGAAACTGAATAGTCTTGGCAAACTACTATAACTTAAACTGATTCTTCAGGAGCTTTAAAGTTTAAGTGAAAGTTCATCTGTATAAAATAAGGAATTTTACATTAAAAAGCAGTTGTAACAGGTACTTATACTTTTAGTTTTGATATTTTATCCCAACTCTGTACTTTAAAGCTGCAGTGCAGCCCACTTCAACCATGAATCCAGTAGGGCCCTATAAATCAAATGCAGTTGAAAATACCGAAAATGTTTTGTAAAACAGTGAAGACTAAAAAAAGGAGGGAGAGAAAGAAACATGCTTGAAATACATCTTAAGGAGAATTGCTACTCCAGTGCTAGTGGATATCAAGCATGGTACACCAGCAGACTATATGCTGTGGCTTGTCAAAAAACAAGATGTCAGTAATCAAGGTGTTGAAACGCATTGCAGAGGGTTTTTTGTTTTGTTTTGATTTCTTTAAAAAAATGAAACATCTAGATGTGCTACAATGTCCTTGTTTAACTGATGACGCCATTCATTTCTCATGGTACACATATGCAAGAAAAAAGTGCAAGTGTGTAAAATATGGAGAACCCACAGATGCAAACACAAAACCAGAATTCATGTATTTAGGATTTAAAAAGTTTTCAACTATTACAGATGCTAGACATTTTTAGTACCTCTTATCCAAAAATGACTCGTGCATACATACTTCATTTTAACACCTATCAAAGGTGTAAAAATCAGAATAATTTCAAAATGCCATTGCATTTAATAACTTAAGGAGAATATGGAGCAAAAAAGATCAGAACTAGCTCTATAATAATAAAGTGTATGATTTAGATAGATATAAAGGAACTCGTATTAGAACAAGCTTCTTTTCTATGCATCAGAATATGCTAATTTTCAGTATAGAATAATAAAAAATTAGGGTTGGAAGGGACCACAGGAGGTCATCTAGTCCAACCCCCTGCTCAAAGCAGGACCATCCCCAACTAGATCATCCCAGCCAGGGCTTTGTGTTGCTGGCCCGGTGGTAAATTTTTTCCTAATATCAAACCTAAACTTCCCTTGCTGCAACTTGAGACCACTGGCTCCTTGTTCTGACATCTGGCACCAGTGAGAACAAACTAGCTCCATCCTCTTTGGAACCACCCTTCAGGAAGTAGTTATTACCTTTAAAAAGGGTATCTTGAAACAAACCACTGCCAATTGCAGAAGAAATAATGCACATTCTAAATCAGTACTAATACTCTCCCAATTGTTGTTAAGCATCTGCCTCAACTAGACATGTCTGCTCTATCAGTGAAATTGCTAGGCACTTAAGTGTACCTATCCAAAAGAGTATAACAATATCCATTATTATAAGAATCAAGTTTAAAAGCTATCCATAGCAACAGTGCTGCACAGCTCAGACTTTTCGATCCTTAAATTGTTCATTTTTTAAAAAAAAGGATTATAGAGCCTTCTGGCAAACATGCTGCTGATTGTTAGGACTTTAAATGTTCTCAGAAACAAGACAGGTCTATATAATAAGCTCTTTACATGAGTATTCATGAGCTGTTTAACTCATTATTGATTAATCCTCCTGTACTCTTTCAGCTAGCTGAAGAAAATATGCACAGCAAACGGCAGAAATATATGGGCAGTTTACACCTAGCATATGCTGAGACAAAAAACATTTTCATCAACATTGTGGCTGCAAATTTGACACTCAGTACAGAGCAATCAAGATAGCTGCAGTCTGTTTTTGTACAACTTTTTTTAAACAATAGCCTTTCCAGTTTTATCATTCACAATTCGTATTTAATTTAAACATAATAGCACAATTTGATTAACTATAATAGTATAAGGATAATTTATTGATCAAAATAATTTACTCAAAGCAAAACATGAAAATTTATATTCTACTAATGTTCTTACTCCAATTACTCTAAAGTTCTTACTATAATTAGGTGTGAAAACAGTATGTGCCACATTCACTTAAAAGAAGGAAAAGAAATATTAAAATTAAGAAGTGCTAATGATGCTAATGATTTTTTACCAGAGTAACGCTTATAAATTGCCTTTTTCTGCATCAGATTTATCTACCCCTTTCCTTGCATGTATACTTCTTAATCCACCTGTTATGGAATATCTAATTATATGCAAGAAAGTGTGGAAATATTTGCATTGAGTGGCTACTACACACACACAAAGAAAATAGGCAACAAGTTGATTCATACTGTTATATAACATTGTGAATCATGACTCTGGGCCCTGGAACACATCAGGTGTAGCTGCAATCTACCAGCCCTGGTGGGGCACAGAGTACCCCTATGGCCTGGAGACTGCAGCTACTGCAGTCTCAGAGTCACAGGGGTGCATGGTACGCAACTACTGTGACTTCCCAGCTGGGGGTGGGGGGTAAGGGTGTTCTACAGCTGGGAGATTTCAGCAGCTGCATTTCCCAGCTCTGGGGGTGCACAGAGCACCCCCATGGCTGGAAGACCCTCAGCTGAGGTCTAGCCCCAGGAGATTGCTTCTTGCTGCTTCCTGATCCTGGGCTCCCCCCTTGCACTGGCAATAAGGTGAGATGGGATTTAATGTGCAAGCACAGAATCATAGAATATTATGGCTGGAAGGGACCTCATGTGGTCATCTAGTTCAACTGCCTGCTTGAAGTTGAACCATCCCCAACTAGGTAATTCACACCAGAACTGGATCATTCCCATGATCATGCCTCCTGGCCATACATGTGTGGCATGGCAGGGGGCATGACTGTGTGGACTGCATGTTGAATCCCATCACACCTTTTTCCTGCATGCAGAGGGGACCTAAAAAAATAGTAATTTCTTACCTGCAAATTTAAATTTCTCCAGATCCAGAAAGTGCCAGTGCAGATGGCAATTTGATCTCCTACCAGCAGATGGAGACAGGAAATAAACCAAACTGAGATGCTAAGCCCCTAAAAAAGGGAATTGTACAAGAGTTCTCCAGTTCAAGAACCACCTGAGCAATAACAAAATAAAAGTAAAAATAAAACTCAAAAATAAATCCACTTGAATAAGAACATGGTTTAAAAATAACAACTGAAAAAATCCTTTACCTAAGACAAGCATACACTATGTAAAATCCAAGTACATGAGCATAAATCAAAATTTGTAAAATCTCTGTAAAATAAAAAGGGTTTCCAAATTTTTACTACTGTAGTAGTAAAATACTACATAATACTACATATAATGGGATCT